ATCAATCAGGTGGTATTTATCAAAATTCACAGGTAGGTTTTGATTGGTCAAAGCTCTTCTGGTATCATGTCTTTCCGGCATCATAGATTATAACAATAACATACCATTCGACAATGAAATATATACATGCCCTAGAACCCCTTGGGAGGGGGTGTATTCCACAATGGAGTAGTTGAAATATTTAATAAAAAAAGTAACATTCATTTTATGGAGAAACAAAATGCCTAAAAAATTATAATAATAATGGCTATATGACCGGCATCTTTATATGCTACAAAAAGTTGCACAATAAAAATAAAAACATGTTCTAAGGGCATGTTCGTTTCTTTTTAATTCTTATCTCTTAAGAGGAATCTTTTAACTTTAAGAGAAAAATTGTTGTTTGTTTCCTCTTATTTCTTAAAGTGCAATCATACAACTTTTTGTTTTTTAATGATACCTCCAAAAAGATAAACAAAAACTCTCATATATGGGTCAAAATGGATATTTGATAATTTTCAGAATTAAGAATTCAGAACATCATTTTCTACATTCAGAGTTTAGAGGTAAGAAAATTTCACTAATACCAATATACCTCTTAATGTAATTATTGCACTTTAAGCTCAGTTTGGATGGAGTACAAATACAAATATATAGAGTGCAAATCCTTGTATTTTGTATTATTTTATATGCATTTGTACCGTACATATTTGTATTTGTACTCCTTCCAAACTGAGCTTTAAAATGTCAGATTTCAGAGCAAACGAACAGGCCCGATTAATGAAAAAATAAAAATTACAATTAGAAATGAGTACATCAAAGAGAACTTTTGAGTAACCCAAATTAATGACAACATGGTAGTAAGTCAACTACAATGGTTTGGTCATGTATAGACATTTCAACTAAAAAAGAAGAAAAAAAACGTGTATAGATTATTAAAACTACAGAAAGAAAATTTGACTTGATCCAAATAAAAGACTATAAAAAATAAAGGAAATATCCAAGAAAACTGTTTTGGTGAATAAAAATATCGAAGAAAACTTGAATTGAAGCTATAAAGGAAAATGCTTGAAGAACTTGTAATTTGACAGAAAAATAATTCTTGATACAGATCCATGATAGGATTTGGGATTAAGGCTGATTTAAGAATCATTTCAAATTCTAATACTGCTGTTTTGAAATAAAAAAAGAAACTTGCCGTTAACGTGGATATCTCATAGCCATACCGAGAAGCATGAACTTCATCCAAATTTATAAAAATTAATTAATTTTTTTTTTTAATTTTTCCTCATGGGCTACTTCATCCCCATATCTATGTTGGATAAGGTGCATGCTATTTATCAATAGGCAACATAACCAATCCCAAGCGAACACACTAGTGTTCTATACGCATGATATCCACACTTATGTAAGGAACACTAATCTGTGACACAGCGTGGCAAAGCAGATCTGGGACCCCATAACTGATATTTCCTGAAGAAAAAGAAAAGAAGAAGATAGGATCATTCTATGAAATTTCCATACATTTAATGTACCCATATGACATATATGAGAGAGAAAGAAATTCCTCATTAATCTTGACAACCTGCTATTATGGATGTGAAATTGGTGGGTGTGGACTGATTTACATTTTACACCATACCCTATGGCATTGACTAATTCACACTACGCCACAGTCCATAGTTGTTCTGAACTATAGATAGATTGTGTGGACCGGATCAGTCCACACCCATGGTAGTGTTTTATAACCACACTTTTTGATTCAATGTATCTCATATACATTTATGGGAGATCTATACAGTCGATTATAAATGCCTAATTTTTGTATTTTATATAATAAATAAATTGAAAAAAATGCATCAATATGTAGACATCAATTGCATTTTTTAAATAATTAAAAAATAAAAAATTACTTTATTGATAAAAATATTAAAAAWTAATATTTAATTAATGAAAAAAGAGTTGAGAAGGAGAACCATCGGACTTGTGCTACATTTAACATTAAAGATTATTATTTTATTGATAAAATAAGAAACATTAAATTTAAAAATAATTAAAAGATTAAATAAAATGAGAGTAATTGGACCAATGTAATGCATGTGCATTACACTAAAACATCCTTACAAATTAACGTGGATGATAAATTGGGGTGTAGCCCATCCCTGTCCGTGATATTTTATGGACGGGGACCGTCCATACATAACAGAACACCATATCTTACCGTGGATAGGACCGAAACGGTCCCGTCCATGATATTTACACATTACCGGATGCTACATTTTTTAACCAAAAAAACCTGAAATATATTAAGTAAAACCAAAAGAATTACATAAAGTCTTTCTAATGCAAGTAACAGTGATATTAAATTTATAGGCATTATGCGCCAATGATATTAAATTTAAGTAACAGTGATGTTTTGCTAAGCCGTTTGCAGTCTGGCTTGCCGAGGTCGTTAAGGTGGGTGCGAGATGTCCGAGGCACTTTCAAGGTTTACTTATGTGGCAATAAAATGTCATCTCATTGTTTTGAGGTACCACGTGTCATCACTTCACTAAAAGGCAAAATCGCCCCTCATCAAGATCCACGCTCTTTTTCAAGAGAAGAGTGAAGATGAGTTTTAAATGACTATTTATCATATATTACATATTATTTCCCAAAAAATCACAAAATTTAAAAATTGTGTACGCCATTACTCTCCACTACCTCTAAATTTTGTGCACTTTTTAAATATTTGAGAAAAAAGCAAGAAAACATTGAACATGGGCCATTTCAACTCGCCCACCATTCTTTATTCATTAATAGAGATGCCACTTGGATACTCGAGTTGAAGATTTTAGACTAAGTGAGGTTGAGGTGAGGCTCGGGCTCTCAGAGTGGACCCATTTAAAATCTAACAACGCCTCAAGCTGACCTCGCCCAATTTGTACCCTGTACCCCCGCTTCGTTTCGTTCCCGTGTAGAAGTAAACGGGAGAGACTGATATGAATATTATCAACATATCCCACGTAAATTACTGAAATGCCTTGTCGGCCGGGAAACAAGCAGGTCCACTTAGCGTTTGTGATGCTATCGACCGATGGGAGCACCGACAAGCGGAGGAGGAGACCCGCTGAAGCTGAATCGCGGGTAACGGAACGGGAAAGATGGGCGTGATGAACGGCAAAAGCAATCGTCTTTTTATGACTTTTCCGGCTCTTTCTTCACATAATACGGCGTTAATTAGTACGTCTTCTTCGAGCCGGACCATGTCCCATGTCCCTTGCTCGCTTAAGGCGTCAAATTACCAATTAGACCCTCACCAGAGAGGCAGGAGAGGGACGCCCCCTAGTTCTAAATCAATATATGAGATAATGAGATTTGACGTTCGGATCCAATCTTCTGTAGAATTGTCAGGTTTCTGTGAAGTAGGTCCCTCTGTCATCATTTGCTCGGGTGATTTAGTACGCGACAGTGTCTGCAGTGATTCTGTTAGGTAAAACCGTTGGATCGAAAATCACTTTTGGGCTACAATTCTACAACGTATTAACCCATTCCGAGGGGGAGTTGCCGTACAGTAAAATATATAACTACTATATACCGTGATAGGCTCAGTTTGGAAAGAGTACAAATGTAGAGCGCAAAACTTTATATTTTGTATTTATATTGTACAAATTTGTATTTGTACTCCTTCCAATTTGCCATAGTAAATTTTACACGTGGCAACTATCGTGTGGACCATAAGCTGTCAACATGGTTGTAATAGTCAAATCCCCTGTCACGTGGATAATAGCATAGCGACTTACAAGTGGACAATTTAGGCATTGCCCATTCGATAGGGAAATACACATCATCCCTTCCTGTGAGTGATGAGTATGATAGAGTGATAGAAACACTAAAAAACGTCCAGTCCTTTATAGGAAAGCTCCCTGAACGACCGAGCAATCTTCCACGTGGCAATTTATTCCTTTCCCCAGTCCCTAGCATAAATTTGTGAAATTAATGTCAGACTCAACAAACATTGTCAAACACGTTTAATGAGCAGGTTCCATATTAAAAAAAAAAAAGATTATCAATACTTTCGCAAGTTAGAAAATGAGATTTACTGCCTTCACATTTTCACAATGTGGTATACTGTCATCCTAAGGTAACATAAAGGAAATGGAGGGTAAAAGTCCATTTCTGGTCAAAAGAACTAACAGTATACCACATTGTGAAATGGAGGGGAGAAGGGAAGAGAAAGGTGTGGATTTTCAAATGTTTGGTTGGAGAAGCAGAAAATCAAAACACATTAATTTTCTGATATTTCAAAGAAAACATAGAAATACAGTTTTTTTTTTTTATTTCTCATATTTTGCTTAATTTCACTATAGAAGAATGGAATTGATTTGGATTTGGCCTAGTTTTTGATGTTGCAATTGAAGTAACAGCCTCCCTCGGAAAAATTTTCACACTACTGGCTATTTTCTCAAGGAAGTAAGGTAGCATTGATTTTGTAGGACCCTACGTTCCCATTTTTTTTTTTTAAATGACTAACTTTCCCTTACCAGTTCCCATGTCCTATGACTCCCACCCCATCGTCGGCTCTCTCTCAATCTCAACCAAATCAACTATTTTTGTGGGTGGATTTGCTTCCTATATTACATAACCACTGAGCAATTATAACCGGTGGAACTGTCCCACAAATGTCCTCCAAAAAAAAAACTTACTTTGATTTAGATTTTAGACTTCCCACCCTCAATATGATAACCGTCTGACCATTCTAATACAATAAAGAAATTCAGAATAGAATGCGCAGTCGGTTTAACTAAAGAGTAAAGACTCAAGAGAGCTCAATCTCTACCGTCCATAACTTGGAGAAATCCGTAGCAAGTCAAATTACCCCGGAAACCAAACCAAAGAATTCTCCGAGCCACGCCAAATCCCTAAAAAATGCGAGCTAGAGACTAATAAGAGGGCAGAGCACGCCATTCCCCACTCTATTAATTGAAATTAATTACGCTACAACGAATCAAGAATTCGCCGTGCTCTAATAGTTCCATTTAAAGAGTGAAAAGACCAAGTTTAAAGGGCGTGCGTTTTCATGTGAGATGCACATGCGAGAAGGGGAGAGAGAGAGAAGAGAGGAAGAGGCACGAATTAGCGAAAGAAGAGTCTCTGTCTCCCCTCCCCTTTTGAACTCTTGGAAGTTCTAGAGGGAAGGGGCAATGGAGGAGAAAAAGCAAATTGAATTCCCGGCAGTTCCGAGACGGAGAGTTCTGCTACAATGGTGCCCCCTGCTTTTCATGTTTGTGATATTTGCCAACGCTCGAGCCTTTGATTACAGAGATGCGCTCACCAAAAGCTTGCTCTACTTTGAGTCTCAACGTTCGGGGCGATTGCCACACAATCAGCGGGTTACCTGGCGGGACCATTCCGGCCTCATCGACGGCTTAGAACAAGGAGTCAGTACAGTACTCTGCTTATCCATCGTAACCCAAATTGTTCATCTTTCTCCCTGTCTCTTTGTGAGTGTTTTTAATGAAATTACGTCGGAAATCATGATTGCAGGTGGACTTAGTCGGGGGGTACTACGACGCCGGTGACCACGTCAAGTTCGGACTTCCGATGGCATTTACAATAACAATGCTGTCGTGGAGCGTCATAGAATACGGCAAGCAGATCGCCGCAGCCGGGGAGTACGAGCACGCACTCGAGGCGATCAAATGGGGAACCGATTATTTTATTAAAGCCCACACTAACCCACATGTTTTATGGGGCGAGGTAATCTTCACTCGCATTGCCACCCAGAAAGCGAAGTATGAAAACATTGATTTCTTCTTCTGTTTCGGTAATTGAAATTAAGAATATGACAATGGTCAGGTTGGGGACGGGGACACCGATCACTACTGTTGGCAACGGCCGGAGGATATGACGACGTCACGACAAGCTTACAAGATAGACGAGAAAAATCCAGGATCCGATCTGGCCGGGGAAACAGCGGCAGCCATGGCCGCCGCATCCATCGTATTCCGGAAATCTAACCCACATTACTCTCACCTACTCCTACATCATGCCCAGCAGGTGAGCCGTGAGCGAGTCGGATAGAAAGGGTAGATGTAGATCATTTAGGATTCTGCCAAATGTAGTGGAGTTGTTCCAAATTTAGAAGCAAGTTAATAACTTGAACTTTTGCCCTTTTCTGCAGTTGTTCGAATTTGGCGACAAATACAGAGGAAGCTATGACAGCAGTATTGGAGCCGTGAAGACATACTATTCGTCGGTGAGCGGTTACAAAGACGAGTTGTTATGGGCTGCCGTGTGGCTTTACCAGGCCACCGACAACAAAGATTATCTCAAGTATGTCATCGACAAAGCTCATTGTTTTGGTGGGATCAGTTGGGCCATCACCGAGTTCAGTTGGGACGTTAAGTACGCTGGTGTTCAGATCATCGCTTCCAAGGTATATACTCTTCAATCTCTTCTTCTTCTTCTTCTTTTGGCAAATTAAATTACTACTATTCAAACTGTCTTTAGGTTACGCTTTTACTTTTTCCAGACCAGTGTCGCCTTTTTCCTTTACAAAGCTCCACTGCTCGCAGAGACCTGATTGATTTGTGTCCAGTGGCAGTGGGTCCCAAATCCGTAATTGTTGTATGGTAACTTTTTGTGGGGCAAATGGGAAATTTGAGTTCTCCTGAGGCCAGAACAAGAATGGCTTGCCTGAAATTCTTGTTCCTTGGTCTTTTGTGGAGGTTAGTGAATACTAAAATAGTAATCTGCCAAAGGAAGTAAGGTCTTTGCCCAAAAAGAAGATTATAATAATCGAGCAAGAGCTTAGAGCATGAGGATGCAAAGGCTTTGCTTTAGTTGATCTATTAAATTTGATACAAGTACACATGCAGTGACATGCAAGTGTGTGGACTAGATCCCCATTGTTTCACTTCACCTAAGGACTCCAGTAGATTTACCCATCCTCACAATTCGTCTAAGGTAGGAATAGGATTGATTTTGGACTTAAAGCCCCTCCAAATGATGTGACTTCTCTACATGTGGACCATTGTCTATTTGGTTCATATTTCATGCACTATGCGTGTACAATCTCTCTCTCCAATCTCCATTATTTAATATGAATCAGGGATCGCAATTGCTTGCTCTCGGAGACTTGGGCCTGTGCCAAACTAATTAAGAATCATTTCTTCTGTCTGTGCAGCTGCTGATGGAAAGTAGACACACAGTTACAGAGCACGCTCACATACTCGGGCAGTATCGCTCCAAGGCCGAACATTATCTCTGTGCGTGCCTGAACAAGACCACGGTGGAGAACGTCGACCGTACCCCAGGAGGTCTCTTATATATCCGTCAATGGAACAATATGCAATATGTGTCGACGGCAGCCTTCCTTCTCACCGTTTACTCCGACTACCTGCAACGCTACTCCGACCAAAAGCTTAACTGCCCAGGAGGAGAGGTGGGGCCCCGAGAGATTCTCGACTTCGCCATATCTCAAGTTGACTACATTTTGGGCTCTAATCCGATGGGCATGAGCTATTTAGTGGGCTATGGCCCAAAGTACCCCAGGAGGGTACACCATAGAGGGGCATCGATTGTATCATACAGAGAGAGCAAGGGGTTTATTGGGTGCACGCAAGGGTATGACAACTGGTATGGGCGGGATGAAGCCAACCCCAATGTCCTAGTGGGGGCCCTCGTTGGTGGGCCCGATTGCCAGGATAATTTTAGGGACCGAAGGAGCAATTTTATGCAGACCGAGGCCTGTACTTATAATACTGCTCCCTTGGTTGGGCTTTTCGCAAAATATCACCAGTTACAATCAGGAGTTCAAAACCTCTCCAACACTCCATCTCCTTTAATTGCTTCTTACTGAAACCAAACGAAACTGGGGTATATATATATAGGAGTTTCTGTAAATTGTTTTATTTTATTTTTTTGTTGCCAGAATTAAGAATCTCCACCCCAATGTGTACCTTTATTCTTATATAATTAATAATATATAGAGAAAAAAGAAAAGGCGATTCATCCACCAAAATTGACTTTGGTTTCGTTTACTTTTCTTTTTTTTTTTAATTTTTTTTCTTACTCAGAGAATTAAGCAAGGTTAAGTTTGATAAGAGATGGTTTGGGGATTTACGTGCGTTTTCAGCGGCAAGACGTACGTGTAGAAAGGGTCTAAGGATATAATGAGGGAGACTTTGGAAAGAAAACAAAAAATCAAATAACAAACAGTTAACATCAAAGGTGTAATAGGGTCTGTTTGAATAGCAGTTGAAATTGGAATTAAAATTCAATAGAATTGGAATTGAAATGATTTATTCCCATAATCTGTTTAATCCAAACAAGAATCTGAATCGAAATTAAAAGAAAAAAAAATTAAAACGAGATTTCATTCTTAAAAGAGGGGAAATGCCATTCCAACAAGAATGGGAATTGAATTCCAATTCTACCTAATCAAACAGTTGGTATCGACAATTTTGAATTTTTATTTCTATAACCGGGTCACACACTCTCTCCCCCTAAGGCTAATAAGATGGTCTATATATATGGACTGTGGTTGGTGGCTGACAAGATGGATCGATCAGCAACATATAAGATCGTTGTGCCATCAACTAAAGTAGTAGACCCTTCTTATACATCAATTTAGACCCCGGAAAATTTTGGGTCACACCATAGGTGTCCCAATCTGACGAACAATAACCTAGAATTGAAAAATCTTCACCTCATCACAGGATTTGCCCAATCAGTTAAGTGGTCAATTTTGTGTCCAACGAAGGGTGTGTTTCTTTATTTCTTAAAATTAGGTGGTGGGATAAGTATATAAATAATAAATTTGCATGGGCGTTGCTTTTGATGAGCGAGTGACAAACTAGTAGTGATGATGTTCACGTAGATTGGGAGCTGGTGAGCCTGGTGTCAAATTCTTGAGTCATGACACTGCCAATGCGGGTTTCTGTCTTCTGAATCCATCCTCTTTGCTGCTTTTGCTTTTTTTTCCTTCTAAAATTATTCTTCATGTTTAAGTGAAACGTTACCCCTAATTGCGGAGAATAAAGAGCCAATAAGAGAGACTTAGAGAGAGCATATTTTGCCACGTGGATAACGAGAGTCAACATCGCTCAAAGAAAGTTAAAAGCATGGACTAGTTCTAATTAATTTCTGAACTAACAGCGACAGTGTATCCGTCGTTCCGGCTCCAACCGCGGAAACACACCCTCCAAATCGCCTCTTTCCTTTTTCCCTCAAACTGTATAACGTAGCCATTTTGTTCTTTGTTATTATTAATTGGTCTTTGAGATGGCTTCAAAAAGAAGAATTGGTCTCTGAGATTGAAAAAATGGGAATTGTGATGATTAAGCTTGGATTATCAGTAATTTATATATATAAAAAATATTTTATTATTAGTAATTATTATATATCAAAAAAAGCTTGAATTATTAGTAATTATTATATATAAAAAAAGCTTGGATTATTAGTAATTAATTTCGTTGAAAGTGCCAATCAACCAAAACCCTTTTTAAGGAGGAATCGGGATTTTTTTATTTATAATTTTTTTATGGACAAGTCTTGATAAAATTTCAGCCCGGAAACAACATTTTCGGTTTTCCCTCAAACACCAAGCGTAGCTTTAACACACACACATATATATTGGCTTTTTTTTTTATTTTTTTCAAAACAGATGTCACAAAAAAAAAATTATGCCCATAGATGATTAAACAAACACCCCTCTCTGTTTGACCCAACAGTTCCCACTGGACCTGATCCGAACTTAGTTGGTCACGGTTGTCCAGAACTATTCTTTAGTTGTACAAATGAGCAAATTATAAGCACAAAGGTGTCGTGGTGTAGTTGGTTATCACGTCAGTCTAACACACTGAAGGTCTCCGGTTCGAGTCCGGGCGACGCCAAGCAATAGAATGCGGGGATAGCTCAGTTGGGAGAGCGTCAGACTGAAGATCTGAAGGTGTCGCGTGTTCGATCCACGCTCACCGCATTGGTTTTACTAATCTATTTTGCTACTTGCTAGAATGGCATTAGCATGACCTTATTTATTTATTTATATTTTGAGGTATGAATCATTTATTGAAACACCTCTCTAGTTTTATCGATTTACTAAAACAGTAAAACCTACCTTATAGTTTGTAAGGGTAATCTTAAAAAATAAACAGTCATGGACTCGTGCGCTTGAATCTTTTACATTCAATTTATGTGATCATGTTATTATTTTTACATAAACAAAATAAATACTTCTTAGTGAAAAGTTAAATCCAAAATTATAAGAGGTATTTTAATAAAATAAAAAACAATAGGATGGACTTAAATAAATCCTTGAGATAATTGTGGCATTAGATGGGTCTCGTTGGACCTTTTATTTTTTTTATTTTTTCGTTTTCAAAATATTGGTCAGTAGGATTTAGGAACTCGTCCCGGTCATTCAGAATGAATTGGTCGTCAATTCTGTCAATCCTCCTCTCTTATTTAACTTATTGTTTTCCTCTACCATTCTTATTTAAGTTGAAAATAAGTTTGCCAAAATAATATTAAACTTGGGGGCCGGGGCAGGCGGGTAGCACAGTTAGGACTTAGGGAGTTTGAAGCTACAAATTCGAAGGTTGTGCGTCGCCATCCACACCATTAAATTTCGTGACCATGTCATCTCACTCACTCACCATCCAGTTCAAGCGTGATGACATTTCAACAGTGGACATAAATTTAGTTGGTATTTTTCTTTTCTTTATTAATATTACAAAATTAGTTGACTTGGTGCGTGCGCAAAAACAAAACTATTAAGCAATTTGGTAAACTACCCATTTATGTCTTTATTCTGTTTATTGTTTTATAATCCTCCTTAATATTGTGGAATTTAAATTTCCTCCTCGCAGAATGATCCTCACACCTATCTCACTTCACGTTATAGTTATGCCTTGAAAATGTCTCAACATGAACAAAAATAAGGAGGAAATTAACCAAGGAGTGTCTCAATTGGTATGTTAATTCTGCTATGGGCTTAGAAGATGGGATTCATCTAAATTGATGAAAAAATCTAGAGAGCCCAAACTATTGTTTTGGGCCACTCATGACCAGCTCAACCAAAGCCAAAGCCCACGGTTGTTCGGCGTTACCCATGTTATTGTCAAAGGCCCTTTCCATGTAGACATCACTTTGGCTAACATTCCAAACAATTATGACAATATAGTAAATAAAAACAATTATGAATGTCCGGATGTAGGACAATTCCTAGACCTGGGCTCATGCATGTTACAGCAGACTCATCTCAAGTCAGGCCCTGTCCGTGATCATATTTAATACGCATATGACATTGGAAAAATAAAAATTGTGTAAATTTGTTGTGTAGTGTTGAAAAAATATTATAAATAAAAATATTGGTTAAAAATTATTATGAGCCTGTTTGTTTCATGGGAATAGGGGTCTGAAATTGGAATTGGAATGGGCCATTCCGATTCCAACTATTTGGTTGGGTGGAATTGGAATTTCATTTTCATTTCTGGTAGAATGGCATTCCTCCATTTGAGGGAATGGCTATTCCTTCTCCCTCTCTTGGGAATGAAATCCCATTCCATTTTATTCTAATTCCTGTCTGAATCAAACAGACTATGGTAATAAACCATTCTAATTCTGATTCCAAAAGATTTTAATTCCGATTCAGATTTTGGTTCCGATTATGAATCAAACAGTCCCTATATATTTAATACATTGTCTCTTTTTGATACATGAATTCTATTTTGCAATTCCATTCTGTTTCAATGTTATATCCATCTTATATTATGGGGGTGTTGGAAAACATGGTTGATTTTGTTTTTGAAAATAAAAGCAACTACCATGTCAACAAAAACATTAAGTGTTTAAATCACTTCTTACTACATCTATTCAATTCTTGTTTGGTCTGCCCACAGCTCTTCTAGTCCCTTCCATTTGTGACATATCACTTCTTCTAATGGGTTCTGTACATGGGATTGTTTTTATTCTGTAATAAAAAAGATTTATTCTTGTTCTTCTAATATATCTATAGATATAATTGTATGTTAAGATATCTTAAAAATAAAGAATCTCTACAATTTTTTAAAATCTTGTTATTTATGTATTAAATTGTTAGACAGAATAAATATACCATGCACATATTTACTAAGCATGACTCTCACCAAGCATCTTTACCGAAAAAAGAAAAAAAAAACTATCGCTGTTTTGGCGATGTTCCTAACAATTTGATCAATGGTTCACCCTAGTCACAGAACAAGAAATTAGAAGCATTGTTTGGAGTTTACCAAACAATAAAAGCCCGGGTCCTGATGGCATTACTTCTGAATTTATCAAAAATCATTGGGACATTGTGGGCCCATCTCTTACTGATGCAATCTTGGAATGCGTTGACAATTCCAAAATTTCATACTATTTTAACCAATCCCATATTGTTTTAATTCCAAAAGTGAAACACCCTGAAACAATGAATCAGTTCCGCCCTATTGGTCTTTGTAACACTATTTATAAGGTAATTGCGAAGCTTATTGTAACTAGACTCAAACCTCTCTTGCCGAAATTCATTTCCCCAAACCAGTCTAGCTTTGTCCCCGACTGGCATTTAAAGGATAATGTGATCATTTTACACGAAGTTCTTCATTCTTTCAAAAGGAAAAGCGGTAAGGAAGGTTTTGTTGGAATTAAAATTGACCTTGAAAAAGCTTATGATAAACTTGATTGGTCATTTATTAAAAAGTCTCTTGATTTCATTAAAATTCTTAAGAGATGGGTTAATTTGATCATGACCTGTATTACCACCCTAGTTTTAATATTATCTTTAACGGTTCAATTCTTGAACCATTTAAACCCACAAGGGGACTTGGACAAGGGGACCCCCTCTCCCTCTACATTTTCCTAGTTTGTTTAGAAACTCTTTCGAATATACTTAAATTCTCTAGAACAGGCCCCGAGTTATCTCACATCTTCTATGCAGATGACTTGTTTATTTTTCTAAAGGCCTCCATCAC